GAGAGAGAGAATTTTTAATATTTTATTTTTTAGTTCTCGGCGGACACAACATCTTTGTTGGTATGTGGTGCTGAGGATCGAACCGGGGCCGCACGCATGCCAGGCGAGCACGCTACCGCCTGAGCCACATCCCCAGCCCCCTCAAGAAATTCTTGCAGTAGATTTATGATAAAGTGTATATGTGGAGGCAGGCTTGATGTCATGCACCTGTAATCCAACAACTGGAGAACTGAGGCAGGAGAATCACAAATTCCAGGCCACCCTTAGCAACTTAGCAAGACCACATTTCAAAATAAAAAATGAAAAGGGCTGGGGGCGTAGCTCAGTGGGAATGCCCCTGGGATCAGTCCTCAGTATTGGGGGGCTCACCGGGTTGTGGGGGAGTGGTGGCATGTCAGGGGTTGGGATTATTTAATTCAGGCAGAGCACCTGACTAGCGCCCAAGGCCCTGGGTTTGGTCCTTGGCCTGAGGGATTGAGGAAGGGGTGGCAGATGAGGGGGAAACAAGGCAAAAGTGTGTGTGAAAAAAGAGAACCTGAGGAATGCATGAGTTAAAACCCTGTAAGCCTGAATTTTCCTCTTTTCTGCGTTCATACTTGATTGACAGACTGGCATTCCAACACCTGAGCCTTTGTATGCAGCATTTGGCTCCCTGCCAGCTTTTGGAGTCTTCCCTGTAACCTGGTGTTCTTATGGGCCGTGATGTGGGTCCTTTTCCACTCATTCAATCCAGAAATGTGCCTTACCATTCGGGGACATTTTCTCGTTGCTCTTTTGTTCCTCTGTTACCTGTTCTGTCTGTAAATGTTCCAACTTAGACTTCTTGGACTGAGCCTCTTCATTTCTTATTTTTTCTGTTTTCACTTTTATTGTTTTATTTTAATGTTTTATGAACCTTAAATTCAATTCTTTTACTTCATTTCTGTTGTATTCAGTTTTCAAGACCTCTCTTGTTCCTGGAATTTTTCCTTTCCACTCCCTTTCTGAATAATCATCTTATGTGATCATATTAATGATCATTTTGGGGATTTTGTTTTGAAATTTCTTCTCTTCAGTGTCTTTTTTATGTGCTCTTTTCTATTTGTTCTCAGTCTTATGTGAGTACATGAAAGCAGAGACTTGGTGGTTTGGTTGTCAGGCATTAAAGAAGAGTAAAGTACAGTGACCTAAGAGGATGGGCTGTGGGGCTGGGAGTGTTCCTCACTGTGGAACTCAGACTAAGCATGCACAGGGAGCTGGGTTCAATCCCTAGTACCCTTCAACCTCTTGAAAAGGAAAGAATATGGCTTCTGGGCATAGCCTCTTTGGGTTCATGTCCCAGCTCCACACCTTACCAGCTGTTTAGCACTGGATAATTTAATTAATATTCTGTGTTTCTGGTTCTCTGTCCATAAAAATAAGATAATAATACTTACTTTATATAGATGTTGGGAGGAATAAATAAGGTTACATAGGGAGAGTGCCTCTTAACAGTGTCTGGTACACATTGAATATGTATACAGTGTTCTCTATGTGTATGTATATACATACGACTGTGTGTGGGCATGTACCTGCACACCGTATATACTAACAATACTCTAATTTCTTAGTATTCAGTAAATCTTTGGCAGAAGATTGGTCCCAGGACCCCTTGAGGATGCTTAAGTTCCTGTTTTCAGTTTTCTTTCTTTTTTTAAACATGGGGTCTCACTATGTTATCCAGAGTCTTCTCAAATCCCTGAGATCATGTGGTCCTTCTGCCTCAGCTTCTTGAGTTCTGGGACTATAGGTGCATGCTTCCCACACCCAGTTTGAATCCCATGGGATTCAAATTGCATACAATCTGCTCACTTCTTCCCCTATACTTCAAATTATCTCTAGATACACCTAATACTATTAAATGGTTGTTGTGTGATATATTGTGTAAGGAATAATGACAAAAATGTACATGTTTATTATAAATATAAATTTTCTTCCTGTTTGATCTGTGGGTGCTTGAATGCATGTGTGTGGAACCCATAGATAGAGAAGGCCAACTGTTTATGCTATTATTATTTTCCCCCAGCACCTTAATGAGTGTCTGTTACATATTACACACTCATTAAACATATATTGAATGTATAATAAATTGAATAAATGTAAATGATGTTGGTCTTCTTTTAATATTGTCTAGTTTTTCAGTCTTGTGTTCAGCCTGAAGCATCCATGCATTCTGCTGTATTTCTAAACCTTTCTATATTTCTATAGTGACTTACCTTGCTTCTTTGACTAAA